ATATTTAATAATCATAATAAATTTTAATTAACTTGAAATTAAGGCCTCATAAAATGAAAATGAAAAAAAAAAAAAATTAAGGCCAGAAACTCTCAAGATGTTGGTTGAGTAGATGATAAAGAGTATCATTTTCACGCAACTCATATGCCAGGTTCCCTTTCATTGGGATATTCTTACTCCAAGATCTTTTTTTTTTTTTTTGGTTTTTTGTTCGGTATCCAAGGTTTCGTCTCGATTAATTTGGATTCGACCCGGGTCGTGCACTTAAAAATGGTGGATGAGTCTCCCAACAAAAACTGCTGCGTACGCAAAGACTCGAACTTGAGACCTTACTTAAATTGAAACAAACCACTTACCACTTAATCTAATCCTCGTTGCTTACTCTAAGATCCTTTTACAAACAGTCATTGCAAGATCCTTTAGTTTCTCTTTCTTTTTTTCCTTTTTTTTTGGGGAAAATAGTTAATGGAGATCCTTTCTTGATTTGAGCAAAGAGCGCATGTTCTTGACAGCATAACGTCTAAACACCACTCCCTCACATCTGGTTTTCCGTCACACATTTGATTTGACAGTTGCGGAGAATATCAAGAAGCCAATAATTTAAAATAAGTCAACGAAGAATAAATACGTGATATTTATAGTTTAAATTAAATAATTTTTATATTTTTAATACAAAAATTAAAAATTAACAACTTTTAAGGAATGATTCAATTATTAAAAGTTTGAGTTTCATATTTAAATTTTGAATTAAGTGTGAAATTTAAAAAAGAAAAGCTATTTGTTATATAACTTATTATTGTGAAATGTACTAAAAAAATTAACAAAAATTTATTAGCCTCATTCAAGCATAGAGTAGGAAAACAAGTAATAGTAAAATTATGAAGTAGGCATGATACAATTATGACCTTAAGATAAAGTGTCAGGGTCATATAAATTTTTAAATATTGTCTATTAAAAATGTTGATTAATTTTATTTAATTTAGTTGTTAAAATTAATTAGTAATTATAATTGTTAATTGATTAAGGGTTTTTTATTTGTATTATTAAAGTATAAATTGAAAGTATAATTATTGTATTTTTTTAATATTAATTAATATTAAAAATATAGA